TAATTGGGTCATTTCTTTTTTAGGTGTTGAGGCATATGAGCTGTTTATGTATTTTGGATGTTAACCCCTTATCAAATAAATTGTTTACAAATTTATTCATCCATACTGTAAGTTGCCTTTTGTTCTGCTGATGGTGTCCTTTGCTGTACAGAAGTTTTTTAGTTTGATGTAGTCCCATTTATTCATTTTGATTTTGTTTCCCTTGCCTGAGGAGCTGTGTCCAGGAAAAAATTGTTCATTCATATGTTCAAGAGATATTTGCCTGTGTTTTCTTCTAAGAGTTTTATGGTTTCATGTCTCACATTCAGGTCTTTGATCCATTTCAACTTTATTTTGTATATGGATTTAGGCAGTAATCCAATTTCATTCTCTTGCATGTAGCTGTCCAGTTTTCTCAATACCAGTTATTGAAGAAGTTTTCTTTCCCCCATTGTATATTCATGGCTGCTTTATCATATATTAATTGACCATATATGCATGGGTTTATATCTGGGCTCTCTATTCTGTTCCATTGACCTATGGGTCTGTTCTTGTGCCAGTACCATACTGTTTTGACAGCTTTGTAATAGAGCTTGAAGTAAGAGAGTGTAATACCCCCAGCATTGTTCTTCTTTATCAGGATGGCTTTGGCTATTTGCAGTCTTTTGTGGTTCTACATGAATTTTAGAACTATTTGTGCTAGTTCATTGAAAAATGCTGTGGTGTTTTGATAGGGATTGCATTAAATCTGTAAATTGCTTTAGGCAGGATGGCCACTTTGACAATATTAATTCTTCCTGTCATGCATGGGATAGATTTCCATTTATTGTTGTCTTCTTTAATTTCTCTCATGAATGTCTTATAGTTTTCAGAGTATGGGTCTTTCACCTCGTTGGTTAGGTTTATTCACAGGTATTTTATTCTTTTGGATGTAATTGTAAATGGAATTGTTTTCCTGATTTCGCATTCTGCTAGTTCATTTTTAGTATATAGGAATGCAGCAGAGGTGTACATATAAATTTTGTGTCCTGAAAATTTGCTGAATCCACTTATTAGTTCTAATAGTCTTTTTGGTGGAATCATTAGTGTTTTCTATGAATAATATCATGTCATCTGAAAATAGTGACAGTTTTACATCTTCCTTACCAATTTGGATACCTTTTATCTCTGTATTTTGTCTGACTGGTGTGGCTAGGACTTCCACTATTATGTTGAATAAAAGTGGTGAGAGTGGACATCCTTGTCTTGTTCCTGATCTTAGAGGAAAAGCTTTCAGCTTTTTACCATTAAGTATGATGTTAACTGTGTATTTGTCATATATGGCCTTACTATGTTGAGGTATGTACCCATTTTGTTGAGATTTTTTATCATGAATTGATGTCGAATTTTGTCAAATGCTTTTTCAGCATCTATTGAGATGATCATGTGGTTATTATCCTTCTTTTGGTTAATTTGGTGTATGATACTGATTAATTTATGAATATCATACCATCTTTGCATCCCTCAAAAAAATCCCACTTGGTTGTGATGGATGATCCATTTGAAGTGTTTTTGAATTCAGTTTGCTAATATTTTGTTGAGGATTTTTCTATGTATGTTCATCAGGGATACTGATCTATAATTTTCTTTTTTTGTAGTGTCTTTGTCTGGTTTTGGTATTAGAGTGATGTTAGCCTCGTAGAATGAATTTAGAAGTAAAAACCCTCTTCTACTTTTTAGAGTACTTTAAGAAGGATGGGTATTAGCTCTTCTTTAAATTTTTGTAGAATTCAGCTGAAGCCATCTGGTCCTGGACTTTTATTTGTTGTGAGTTTTTTTATTACCAATTCAATTTCATTACTGGTGATTGGCCTGTTCAAATTTTCTGTTTATTACTAGCTCAATCTTGTGAGGTTGTACTTTTCTAGGAATTTGTCCATTTCTTTTGAATGTTCAATTTATTGGCATATAATTTTTTGTAGAATTCTCTAATAATTTTTTGTATTCCTGTGGTATCTGTTGTGACTATTCCTTTTTTATTTCTGATTTTATTTGTGTACTCTTTTTTTATTGATATTCTGGCTAATTTGATTATCTGATTATCTGTTTTCTTTATTTTCTCAAAGAACCAGTCCTTGTTTTTATTGATTTTTTTCTGTTATTTTATTCTCCTCTATTTTATTTGTTTCTGATTTGATCTTTACTATGTCCTTCCTTCTACTAACTTTGGATTTCATTTGTTCTTCTTTTTCTAATTTCTTTCATTGTGAGTTTAGGCTTTTACTGGGGATTGTTCTTTTTTGTTGTGGTAGGCCTGTATTGCTATGTACTTCCCTCTTAGAAACACTTCTGTAGCATCCCACAAATTTCGGACTGTTGAATTTTTGTTTTCATTTGTCTCCATGTATTGCTTGATTTCCATACTAATTTTTTCATTGTTTAGCCTCCATGTATTTGTAGGTTTTTTTTGTTTTTTTGTAATTTATTTCCAGTTTCATACCACTGTGGTCTGAGAAAGTGCTTGATATAATTTCAATCCTTTTAAATTTATTGAGGCTCTTTTTGTGGCCCAGTGTGTAATCTATTCTAGATAACATTCCATGTACACTTGAGAACAATGTATATACTGCTGCTATTGGGTGAAATGTTCTGTAGATATTAAGTTCATCTGATCTAATATATTCTTCAGCGCCTCTGTCTCCTTATTTATTTTCTGTCTTGCTATCTGTTTATTGATGTGAGTGATCTATTAAAGTTTCCAAAAATGAATGTGTTGCAGTCTGTTTTTCCCTTTAATTCTGTTAGTATTTGCTTTACATATTTAGGTGATCCTATGTTGGGTGCATAGATATTTACAATGATTATATCCTGTTGTTGGACTTACCCTCTTATCATTATGTGATGTCCTTCTTTATCTCTTGTTACTTTCTTTGTTTTGAAGTCTATTTTGTCTGCTATAAGTACTGCTACTCTTGCTTTTTTCTCCCTATTATTTGAATGAAATATCTTTTTCCATCCCTTCACTTTTAGTCTGTGTATGTCTTTGGGTTTGAAATGTGTCTCTTGTAGGCAGCATATAGATGGGTCTTATTTCTTTTTCCATTCTGCCACTCTGTGTCTTTTTTTTTAAGTTTCAAATATTTTATTTTCTTATTCATACAGTGTGAAGTTTTCTAAAGATCCCACAAGATGTTTCATGCTGAAGAAAAACTAAACATTCAACATAAACCATCCCTCCCTGAGCCACACTAAGAAAAAAAAAGAAAAACCCGTACTCCCCAGTAAGGAAATAAATAATGTTTGCACTATTTTTCTGTAATGCCAGCCAACATATGCACAAGCAAGAGAAAGAGAAAGCATTTGCTAAAATATTTGTAACAAATACTTACGTACAAAAAATTCACAAAAGACTAGTTTCCCCTTGAAGCAGAGCATATGCAGTTGACACTGGAACAGATCAAACCACTGGCTGGGATTATAAACCACATACTGATCCAGAGGCAGCAAGTTACATGTAGTGGAGATTTTCAGTTTGAACATTGACATTTCCAAAGTTTGGCAACAATATCTTTTAAAATTATGCAAATTATGTAAACAAGAGGTACATTTTAAATTGATCTACATACAAAACTCCATGTCATGCAAAGACACTAAGCACCAGGATTTTTCTCTCACAGAGCCCCTGATGTGCAGCACTCAGCTGAAGGAGCAGCCATGGCAGACAGGTGTGCCTGATTTAAGATTCATTCACCTTGATTCATCCTGCTCTTTTCTATAATTATAAAATCAGTTTTTACAGAAAAACTAAGTAGAGAAAGAATACTGTCCTAGAAAGCTAACCAAAATGTTTTCTTCCAGTGAACAGTACCTTTGCAGAAAAGGAAAGGGATAATATCAAATGATGGAACATGATACACTACTTTAAATCAGACAAATATTCTGTTATCATTCATTACATATATGGGCAAATCCAAAAGAAAACCATCATGCACTCTCTATGCCTTGTGGTAAAGAAATTTAAGATATTAAGTTCAGATAAAATTTTGCTGTTCTGTGGCATACAGATTTAAATCACATATATATGTGGGTTTTCAGATACATATGTGCACTTAAAGTATCACCAGTTTTTTAGAAATAGCTGCAAGTCTTTTGAAACAGAAGGGAGATTTATGATTCAAACATAAATTTCATGACAAATTTATTAACCCATGTAATGAATCAAACATTCTAAGCAGTTCATGATTACTTCAGGTGCTCTTCATTACTCTAAGATAAACCATGACTGCCTTGACAGCTTCTGGCTTTTCTGTGTAAAACCACAACTGGTAATTTACATCTACTCAGGGACATTAATAAACAGAATGGCTATAGCTCTGAAGTAACAGAATGAGGCAGCCACAGGCTTTGTGCAGTTACTGTGTGAACAAGAACAAGCTCTCGGCAGTAGCATTGCACTGTACTTTCTCCTCAAGCAGAGATGTAGTCAAAGCTGCTCAATATTGAGACTAGTCCGTGGAAATATATTCACAGGTACAAATAAAGTTACAAAGTTCTTTGTTACAAAAATGTAATTAAGGGAAATAATAGGAAGTTAACAAATGCTTTGCCAATCTCTTAAAGGAGAAAGCACAGGAAAAGGAAAACAGCTGGCCTAATACTCTGCTCACATTGTACAATCTTGTCTATATAAAACTAGGTGAAATAAAAGTGAAGATGTCTTATGTTCTGCATGGCACTTCTGTACTCTATCATTTTGTTTCTGAATCAAGTATATTAAATTAAAGCCAACCTACTACACATATAGAAAGCTATATATATCTATATATAAATATTTACATATGTATATATAGATAATTTCTTGTTATGAAAGATGAAGAAAAATAAATTAAAAAGCCAACCCCTTCCATTTCTTCACCACATTGATATGCTCTTGTCATGTTGCTGTTCTTCAGACTTTAAAGTGCTACACTGAGTTATTGAGAGAATAAAGAGTTCAAAAACACTTAGCTGGCTTCATGATGCTCATATTGGAAAATGTGGCTTCACAGAGAAAAATACTTCCATTTAAATACACAGAAAGCATTGCTGGATGTCTTGAGCAGATCTTCAGAGACGGAGAAGAAAGCAAAAGTGTTGGGTGGTACTCTTTGAAAAAGAGTCACACATCTACCACCATCTTTCTTTTTGTGGATATCTTGGCCATGTATAGCAGCACAGAATTCTTCAAAGAATATCCTTACATCTCCATCTTTATCTCTATTTATTATAGTTTTGTCTAAAATTTGCTGTAACTGTGTATCTTTCAGATTGTTCCCCACCATCATCTTCAGCACCTGGAAGAGTTCTCCATTGGAAATATAGCAATCTTTATCCATGTCATAGATAGGGAGAGCAAACCTCAACTTCTCCTTATTTCCTTTGACACTGAACTGAGAGACTTCCTCAATGAATTCTTTAAAGTTTACTTCTCCATTCCCATCTGTGTCTAATATGTCTATTACTCGCTGTACTGAAGGATTCTGTTGTAACTCAGGCAGAGACATGAACTCTTCCACAAAGAGCCAGAATTGTACAAATCAAGCTCTTAAAAATCTCTCTCCTAGCCTTTTAATTTCATCAGCAACAAAGTGTGAGCACATTTCCAAAGGATAACTTGCCTCATTTCCTATTTTGTTGGGTGGTCGGTGGCTCGCTCAGGCGGAGGAGAGTGTCAGCACTCAAACAGAAGCATCGTGCAGGAAGCAGTGGTGGCCCAGCTGTGCTCTGTTGGGCTGTTGCGGCCCTCTGGATGCCCACGCAGGAGGCGGTGCAGGCTGCGGGAGGGGAGGTGGCACTGCAGGGCCCGCGCCAGCTGGGTGAGTGGCAGAAGAGAAGTTAAGGTCAAGATTCAGAAACAGAGTGGGAGAACACATGGCAAGAAAGATGAGAGGCAGAGAAGCACAAGAAGGGGAGAAGGGGGAAAGGGGGCCAGGCGGCTCGGGGGTTGCAGCCTCACGCTGGAGCCAGAGCCGTGACTGACTCCCTGCGGTGGCTCGCGCTGACCCGCAACCTCCACTCTATGTCTTTTGATTGGTTTATTCAGTCCATTTACATTTAAGGTAGTTATTGATAGGCATGTACTTATTGCCATTTTATTAATTGTTTTCTGGTTGTCTTTATATCTCCTCTTTGTTCCTCCCTTCCTCTCTTATAACTCTTCTCTTGTCATTTTATAGTTTTCTTCAGTGTTGTGACTGGATTTCTCTTTTTTAAATTTTTTGTGTATCTATTATAAGTTTTAGGTTTGTGGTTACCATAAGTTTCAAGGATAGCTTTCTGACTATATAACAGTCTATATTAAGTTGATGATTGCTCTATTTCAAATAAAACCTAAAAGTACATTTTTTCTTCTTCCTCCACCACACATTATATGTATTAGATGTCATAATTGGAACTTTTTGTGTATCCCTTGACTGATTTTGTTTATAGTTGGTTTTACTGCATTTGTTTTGTTTTAATTTCATCCTTGCTTGGTAAGTAATTGATCTACTACCTTTACTGTACACTTATTTTCACTGGTTAAAACTATTTAGCCTTAGGAACATTTCCATCTACAGCAGTCTCTTTAACATATCATGTTATGTTGGTTTAGTGGTTATAAATTCCTCAAGCCTTTATTTCTCTGGGAAATGCTTAATATCTCCTTTGAATTTGAATGACAGTCTTGTTAGGTAGAGGATTCTTTGTTGAGGGCCCTTTTGTTTCAATACATTAAATGTTTCTTGCTAGTCCCTTTTGGTCTGTAAAGTTTCTGCTGAGAAGTCTGCTGTTAGCCTGATGGGGTTTCCATTATAAGTAATCTCTTTCTCTCTATGGCTGCTTTCAATACTCTCTCCTTATCCTTAATCTCTTCCATTTTAACTATTACATGTCTTGGTGTTGTCTTCCTGGGGTTCCTTTTGTTAGGGGCTCCCTGTGCTTCCATGACCTGACTGTCTATTTCCTCCTCCAGACTGGAGAATTTTCAACAATTATTTCCTCACAGAGGCTTTCTATCCCTTTCTCTCTCTCTTAGCTTTCTGGTATCCCTATTAATTTAAATATTTTCTTGTTTGGAGTTGTCACACAGTTCTCTTATCATCCTCTTCTTTCTAGAGATTCTTTTTTCTCTCTGTTCCTCAGCTCTGTTGTTTTCCTGGTCTCTTAATTTCCATATCATTCATTATCTCCTTTACTTGCAGCAATCTATTATTCATTCCCTTCATTGTATATTTCATTTCAGTTACTGTTTTCTTCAGCTCTGAGTGGCTCTTTCTCAACTCTTCTGTCTCTTTCTTGAAGTCCTTCCTGAGATCAGTACTTTCCACAGATCAGTGAGCATATTTATGACGCTTACTTTGAAATCTTTACAAGAAGATTGGTGATCTCCACTTCATTTAACCTATCTTTCTGGTGTCTTAGCCTGTAGTTGTGTCTGTAAGATAATCCTCTGCCTCCTCATTTTGTCACTGTTTCTGTGTTTCTTCCTTTATATTAGATGGATCTGTTATGCTTCCTAATCTAGAGAGTAATGGCTTTATGAAGAAGGTGCCCTGTGGTGTCTAGAAGCTCAAGAATCTTTCCTCTCCAGTGCCTTTTTCTCCTTTGTGGTGGAGCCCCAGTTGCTGTTGGTGGGTAATGTGGGAGGAGAATTTTCTGTCTGTCTACCAGCAGTGGTCTATCTCAGGCCACTGTGGCTGGCAGTTTGCCTCAGCTGGCCATTTGTGATAAGGTCAGTGGTTTCTGCAATGGTTGGGCAGCTAAGTTAACTAGGTGGGTGGGGCAGTCACCCACTTCTAGGGCAGTTGCATAGCACAGCAATTTGTACAGTTGCAGGGTGCCTGGACACCCAGGTGTAGCAGTGAGTCACATGGGCACCCCTTGGCAGTGGTGAGGGGCATAGCACCAGGCTTTGCCACCTGCAGGGAGGAAGGAGCTCTTGGAGCTGGATCTTACAGGCATCTCTGTAACTGGGCTGAAACAGGGCTGAGAAAGCTGTGAAAGCCTCCCTCTGCCTGCCAAGCAGCAAAGTCTAATGCTGCTCGGCTGAGTGGGCTGGTGCACTGGCAGTGCGCAGGGAAGTGCCTTGGGGCTGAGTTGCCAGCAAAGGGAATGGAGCGTCTGGGTAGCCCAAGAGTATATGACCTGTTGGGCCAAGAGAGAGCTGGGTAGGTATCTGCCACCTGCCCTTTCTCCTGCAGCAAGGGCTCTGTCTAACCCTCTGACCCTCTGGCACCCCTCCTGCTGCTGGCCAATCTTTCAAATTGCCACCTCTGCTTTGGGTCTCAGAGGGACTGGTAGAGCATACCTGTCCTCCACAAGTGGCTGGAGTCTCAGCCTCCCAGAGTGTTCCACCTGTCCCTGTTGTCCAGCCCTGCTAATCACCAGAACCCAAGGCAATGTGGACTTGTTCTCCCAGAGCAGATCTTCAGGGCCAGGTGTGCAGTGTTCCTGAGTGCCTGTCCCCTCCCTGTTCTGTTCCTCTTACTTCTGCCTGTGGGCTGGGTTGGGGGAAGATTGGGTCTTGCTTGATTGTGGCTCTGCCACTTTACCTTTTTCTGTGTGGTCTTTTCTTCACCAGATGTGGGTGGTCTGTTCTGCAGTCTTCAGTTTGTTTTCAGGTTTGGTTGTATTTGCTGTAGTTGCTTCCTTTGTGTGTGTTTGGGAGAAGAGTTTTCCACATTGCTTTCCTACTCTGCCATCTTTTTTCACCCTCTCGAGTTCCAGTTGTTTTATATTCACCAATACTTAGGTCATCCTTTCTAATTTTGAGCATTCTGAGAGATGTGTGTTAGTATATGATTATCATTTTAATCTGAATTCCCCTAGTGATTAATGTTGTTGAATATCTTTTCATGTGCTTATTGGTCATATGTATGTTTGCTGAAGTGCCTGTTCAAATTTTTTGTCCATTTAAAAAATTGATTCAATGTCTTCCTTATATTGAGATTTGAGGATCATTTATCAAACATCCTTTGCAATGATTTTCTGCCAGTCTGTAGCTTGTCTTTTTATTCTCTTGCCAGTGTCTTTTAAAGAGAAGTTATGATTTTTATGAAGTCCAACTTATCAATTGTTTTGTGTAGATTGTCCTCTGGATTGTATCCAAGATCTTTGCGTAACCTATGGTCACAAAAATATTTTCCCATGTTTTCTTCTTGGAGTTTAAAAATTTTAAGTTTTAAATTTAAATCTATGATTCATTTGAGTTTTTGTATGTGGTGTGAGATAGGGATTGATGTTTCTTTTTTGAATATGGACATCCAATATTTTTAGCACCATTTACTAAAACTGTTTTCATTTCTCCATTGAATTACTTTTGAACTCTTGTCAAAAATCATTTGAACATATTTGTGTGCATCTATTTCTTGGTTCTGTATTTTGCTCCATTGATCCATTTATGCATTCTTACCTGAATAGCACACTGTCTTGATTTTTTAACTCTATAAAAAGTCTTAAAATTACATAGTACTTGTTTTCCAATTTTGCTTTCTTTCCCCAAAGTTGTTTTGCTACTCTAGGTCATTTTCATTTGTAAACTTAAGTGTCAGCTTGTCAAATTTTAGAATCAACTCTATCTACAACAAATATTACAAGGATTTTTCAACTATTTAAAAAATAATTCTAGACTTGTTGAAGAGTTGCAAAAATAGCTTATAATATGCCCATCTACACTTTGCCCAAGTTCCCATAGTGTTAGCATCTTACATGACTATGCATGGTACAGTGATCAAAACAAAGAAATTAACATTGGTGCAATACTACTAACTATAGACTTTATTCAGATTTCTCCTGTTTTCTACTCATGTCTACTTACTATTCAAAATTCAAAACAGGATATCACATCCCATTTAGTTGTCATTCCAATCTTTGAGAGTTCCTCAGTATTTCCTGTCTCTCATGACCTTAACACTTTTGAAAAGTACTGGTCAAGTATTTTGTTGATTGCCTCTCAATTTGGGTTTGTGTGATAGCTTCTCATTATTACATTGAGGTTATGGATTTTGGGAAATAATACCGCAGAGGTGAAGTGATTGTCTCCTCACATAATATCAAGGGTTGCATGCTATCAAAATGACTTATCATTGGTGATGTTAATCTTGGTCACTTGGTTAAGGTGGCATCTGCGAGATTTCTCCACTGTAAAGTACTATTTTTCTGTTTGCACACTGTTCATTAAAAGAAAGTCATTAAGTCCATCCAATACTCAAAGGGTGATGAATTAAACTCCCTTCATCTCCAGGAGGGAGGAGTATCAAAAAATTGCGGACATATGTTAAAACCAACACAGTAATTAATAACTATTTTGGAAAATATACCTGGAGGCTATGTAAATATCCTGTTTCTCCTTAAAGTTTTACGCACTAATTTCAGCATTTATCTGTGGATTTTGCCTGCAGCAATTATTACTGTGGTGGTAAAATAGTTTCTATTTCCCCATTTCTTCTTCATTTATTAATTTGAATTATTGAGTAAGGAGGAGCTGTTACTTCTCTACCATTTATTTATTCAGTCATGTATCTTATACGGACTCATACATTTATTTTATTCTTTGGGTTATAATCCAATACTATTTTTGCTTATCTTTTTGCTCAAATTGTTCAAGTTTTGGCTATTTGAATCTCTTTTAAGTCAGCTCCTATGT